ATTCTCAACATTTTATTTCGACTTTTTTTCTCGAAATTTAACGAGTTTTTTATCGAAACATAACGAGTTTTTTTCTCGAAATTTAATGACTTTTTTCTCGTTATTTAATGAGTTTATTCTCAACATTTTATCTCGACTTTTTTTCTCGCAATTAAAATTTTTTTCTCATAATTTAATGAGTTCATTCTCAACATTTTATTTCGACTTTTTTTCTCGAAATTTAACGAGTTTTTTATCGAAACATAACGAGTTTTTTTCTCGAAATTTAATGACTTTTTTCTCGTTATTTAATGAGTTTATTCTCAACATTTTATTTCGACTTTTTTTCTCGCAATTTACATTTTTTTCTCATAATTTAATGAGTTAATTCTCAACATTTTATTTCGACTTTTTTTCTCGAAATTTAACGAGTTTTTTATCGAAACATAACGAGTTTTTTTCTCGAAATTTAATGACTTTTTTCTCGTTATTTAATGAGTTTATTCTCAACATTTTATCTCGACTTTTTTTCTCGCAATTTAAATTTTTTTCTCATAATTTAATGAGTTCATTCTCAACATTTTATTTCGACTTTTTTTCTCGAGATTTAACGAGTTTTTTATCGAAACATAACGAGTTTTTTTCTCGAAATTTAATGACTTTTTTCTCGTTATTTAATGAGTTTATTCTCAACATTTTATCTCGACTTTTTTTCTCGCAATTAAAATTTTTTTCTCATAATTTAATGAGTTCATTCTCAATATTTTATCTCGACTTTTTTCTTGATATTTAACGAGTTTTTTCTCGAAATTTAACGAGTTTTTTATCGAAACATAACGAGTTTTTTTCTCTAAATTTAATGACTTTTTTCTCGTTATTTAATGAGTTTATTCTCAACATTTTATCTCGACTTTTTTCTTGAAATTTAACGAGTTTTTTCTCGAACTTTAACGACTTTAATCTCGAGATGGTTTTATTTTTTTATTATAGCTTGGCCCTAATCCTCTTCCGTAAGAAAGACATGAGAAAAATACAGATTAAAAAAAAAAAATCCATTACAGAGGCAGAAAACAAGAAAAAAATGTTTGCCAATTAATTAAATAAAATCTGCCAGTGAACCTTACACAGTTTTGTTTCTTTTTAAGTAGATTTATCTTGTTTTAAGGATGTTTAGAAAAAAAACCACAAGAATAATAATGCAGATTAAGAACATAGTTTTTGTAGTACAGATACAGAGTGAAAAGCACAGTTTTGTTTCTTTTTAAGTAGATTTATCTTGTTTTAAGGATGTTTAGAAAAAAAACCACAAGAATACAATAATAATAATACAGATTAAGAACATAGTTTTTGTAGTACAGATACAGAGTGAAAAGCAAAAAAAATAATAAAAAAATTAATTGTCTCCTAAATAAATAAAATCTGCCAAGTAGATTAAGTAGATTTATCTTGCTTTTAGAGATGTTAAAAAAACAAAAAAAATATAGATTAAAATATTTGTATTATACAGATACAGATTGCAAGGCACAAAACAAATAAATAAAAATACATGCATGAATGAATGAATGCATGAAAGGATGCATGAATGAATAAATGAATGCATGAATAAATGAATTAATGAGTGAGTGAATGAATGAATGAATGAATGCATGCATGAAAGGATGCATGATTGAATGCATGAATGGATGAATGATTGAATGAATGAATGAATGAATGAATGAATGAATGAATGATCATTATTGAACAGCTCACATACAGGTTTGTTTTTCTGAAATGCACAAACGCCTGTAGCTTTGAATTTGAGTTTCAGTCACATGAGACCTTCTCAAGAAACCCTCGAGACACAAACATATGTCCACTTCCGCTCCACTCGTCATCAGTAATCAGGCCAGAATAATTTCAGGAAAAGCTGTTGGTCCCTCTGGAAACAGACGGTCCTCTGAAGTGGACGCTTGGAGTCCTCGAGAGTCCTCGAGAGTCCTTCAGATCAGGCAGAGATACAGCGCTCACCTCTGGCTCCGACAGCGTCACATGAAGCCAGAGACACACAATAGAGTCTTTCTCACAGCGATCACATGCTGTCCGATCCGCGGCTGTGAGGAGACAGACGGCAGCGCTGGAACGGCTCGGGATGTTACAGACGCGCTCTGCTTGGGACACGAGGGGTTAAACGCCGGCGCAGGTGAGCTGGAGCGTCAGCGTGTCTCCGATCAAAAGACGGGTTTTTATAACTCGCAGTGCTCTGGTGAAGCATAAAGGAACCATTCTGCAGTTCTCTGGTAGGTGTTTTGGCAGAAAAAAAAACTGGTTTAGTAATTTTTTTATTTATTATTATTTTTTTTTATGTTTGGATTGAAATCTGTGTCTGTACTGCAAAAAAAAACAATTCTTAAACTGTATTTTTGTTGTTGTTTTTTTCCTCCAACGTCCTTAACGCAAGATATATCTACTTAAGAAGCCAAGCTGTGTAAGATAATGTGTCTTGAATTTAGTGTTTTTTATGCAATGCAGGAATTTATTTATTTTTTATTTTATTTTAGTTAGTAGAAGGTTTGTTTGTTTGTTTATGTATGCATTTATGTATCTGTACTGCAAAAAAAATATATAATAATTCTTAAACTGTATTTTGTTTTTTTCTACACATCCCAAAACATAGATAAATCTACTGAAGAAGCAAAACCGTGTAAAATATGGTATCTTTGAATTAAGTGGGGGTTTTTTTCCCCCAGATTTTATTTAGTTTATTATTTTTGCTTTGTTTTCTGTATCTGTTGGGCAAATAAAAAAATTTAAAAAACTTGATCTGTATTATAGATTACATTTGTATAATTTGTGTTTTTGTTGTGCTTTTATAAGATAAGTCTACTTGAGAAGCAAAATCATGTAAGATAATACATCATGAATTAAGTGTTTATTTTATTTTATTTTATTTATTTAGTTAGTACAGTGTTTTGTCTTGCTTTCTGTATCTGTGCTACAAAAAAATAATTTTCTTAATCAGTTTTTATCTAAACATTCATAAAACAGGATACATATAATATCTTCAAGTTTTTATTTATTTATTTATTGGCAGATTTTAGTTAGGAGACGGTTTATTATTGTTTTGTGTTGCTTTCTGTATCTGTAGTGCAGAACAATAATTTCATAATCTGTATTTCTGTCAGGGTTTTAGTAAAAATATTTAAACATCCTTAAAATAAGATAGATTTACTTAAAAAGAAAAACTAATGTTTAATATATTTTGAATTAAGTTTATTTAAATCCATTGGTGGATTTTTAAAAATTTAGTTAAACCTATTTAGTTAGCTTTTGATGTTTAGATATTTTACTGGAAAACAGTGCAAAAGTACTGGTTGATTTATTTATTTATTTTACTAAAAAGTGTTTTTTGTCATGTTTTCTTGTCAAAATATCTAAGATGAATTAAAAACATTATAAATAATATGTTGGTTTGTTTTGTTTTTATCCATTGTTTTATTTTCTACTTTTGCACTGGCTTTAGACGTTTAGACATTTTACTGGACAATGTTGTGTTATCTGCTCTTCTGTGAGCGTTTGCACTGTGCTGTGCTGTTTTTGTTTATTCATTGGCTTTGCTCAGATGTTTTGAGCTGTGTAATGTTCTGTCTTACAGAGCTTGTGTTGTTTTACTCTCTCTCTCAGCGTCTCTGATGAACAGTCCTCCTCGAAGGCGGTGGAAAGGGCAGCAGCATCGCTCCAGAGCGCCAGACAGCGTTTGTCCAGCGAGGAAAAGGCTCATCTTGACCACAGTGCAAACCTCTGGCCTTCAGATCGACCGGAGAACCAGCTGGACAAGATGAAGAACGAACCGGAATGCTGCAAAGTACATGAGCTTAAATACAGAGAAACAGCAGATGGACAAAACCTAGAGGAGACGTGCTGGAGACGAGACACACAGGAAGTGACATCAGAGGATGACAACAAAGGTAAGACTGTCTCCTGTCATCAACATGAAAAATAAATAACTGATCAATCATTCATCAAAAAAAATCCATCATTCAAATCTAAAACCACTTTCTTTTTCTGGGAAGGCTGTGCAGGCTATTTGTCAACATAGTAAATTAATGTGGGTTAATCTTAAACGAATAGTTTAATGAAAATGTGCTGGAAATGTGCTCACCCTCAGGCCAATCCAAGATTAAGATGAGTTTGTTTCTTCATCAGGTTTGGAGAAATGTAGCATTGCATCAGTGTCTCAGCAATGGATGCTCTGCAGTGAATGGGTGCCGTCAGAATGAGAGTCCAAACAGCTGATAAAAACATCACAATAATCCACAAGTAATCCACACCACTCCAGTCCATCAGTTAACATCTGGAGAAGACAAAAGCTGAAACAAATAAGATGTTTTTAACTAAATTATGAGTCCATAATCCATAATAAGGCTTCCTCCAGTGAAAAAGTGCATGACGGCACCCATTCACTGCAGAGCATCCATTGCTGAGACACTGATGCAATGCTACATTTCTCCAAATCTGATGAAGAAACAAACTCATCCTGATCTTGGATGATCTGAGTGTGAGCACATTTCCAGCACATTTTCATTTTTGGCCTGAACTATTCCTTTAATGTAGTGCAGAAAATGGCAACAACAGGGAATAAAGAAGCATTTAAAATATTGTGTTTTACTCAGATGGACATTCAGTGCTGTTTTATTTATCTCTGCTCAGATGTTATAGTCTGATTCGTGTTTAGGGGTGAATGATAGCCTGTTTTAGAGATGTTTTTTAGAGTTTTATAACTTTGATTGACTGTTGAAAGCAAATATAAAAGAGCGAGTGTTTTTCGGCGCTGCCAGACACTGAGAGCTCATGCTGCTTGTTAGTGGAAAGGAGCTGCCAGGAAACTAAAGCAGAAGACTGTAGTTTTCATCCCGTCTGTCACCCATCGATCTCCATTCTGCTCGTTCCAAACAGCTCGTCTTTGTGCTCCTGCTCATCACACACACACACACACACGCACGCACGCACACACACACAAACACACACGCACAGAGCAGGGGCGAACAAAAAAAAAAGGGGATGAAAAAGGTGTCAATGGAGAAACAAATTATAAAATTAATATAACTTAAAAAATGAAATGATTTCACCCAAAAAGGAAAATTTCAAGATGTAGATGAGTTTCACACACACTTAAAACAAAGCAGGTGTAAATCACACATAGACACGTCCCAGTGAAAAACCAGAAGGAACAAATAAGGAAATAGAAAAGGCAAGTCTGTCAATACAAAATGTCTTGTTTAAAAGTTAGCATAGATAATCAGAAAGATAGATAAATGGATGGACTAATGAATGGATAGATATTTAAACGGATAGATAGATAGACGGACGGACGGACCAATAGATAGATAGATAGATGGATAGATAGATAGATGGATGGATAGACAGATAGACAGATAGATATTGCATGGCATGTTTGTTACATTTAAGCATGCATTTTTCTCATATTACAGTATATTACACATATATACATATCTCATATTACATATGACTTCATCCTAAAAAACAAAAAAACCTTTGTTTTCTCCTTTCTTTAATCTTTTCCTGTCTAGCTTGTACTTATTTGAACAATGCTTGAAACTTGGTTTTACGAGCACTTCCTTTGTCTGTTTGCCTCTTTAAGATGAATCACTTTATGTATTTCCCAATTGTAAGTCACTTTGGAAAAAACGGTTTGCTAAATGAATAAATGTAAATATAAATGTACAGTAATGAGAGTGGGGTTTTTTTTTTTTTTGCTATGAACAATGAGAATTTTAGAATAAATGTGTGAAATTAATATGAATATAATCTGAATGCAAAGGTCACAATGCAAATAAATTCTAATAGAAATAGTGTTGGTTTTGGGGTGCGATGTGATGGAGTCAGGTTCAGTGAGAGCATCTGTGTGTGTGTGTGTGTCTGTCTGTGTGTGTGTGTGTGTGTGTGTGTGTGTGTGTGTGTGTGTGTGATAGAGCGGATGGATCTGATGGCTCCAGACGGTGGCGCTGCAGAGTGTGTTTGTGCAGCTGAAGCGCGGCTCGCTCCCGACACGGACGACTGTGACTCTGTGATGTCTGAGCAGACGCTCTCGGTCTGCAGCGGCCCTCAGCGGGCCCCGCGCGGCTCCTGGGCTCTGGCTCTGTACGGGGACGACTGCTTCGGTCCGGATGTGCTGGAGTACACACAGAAACTCAGCAGTCACAGCCAATCGCCCACACTGGAGGACAAATCACAGGTATCTGATCTTTCCATGCATGGGTCATATTTTACCCCCAAATCTAAAAAAAAAAGAAGACATATTTTTAATAAAATTAACCATGCTCTTAGAACCATTAAGATGTTTTTTTTTGGAGCATCAAACTATTTTCATGACAATTAAACACATTTTCACCACAATTATCAGTTTTGTTTTTTGTTTCTTTGTAATTATTTTTATTCTCAGTGGTGACTGTTTTATTCCCACAGTATATTTTACTTTTTTATATAATTAGCAAAATATTAAAAGCAGTACAATAGCGTATAAATAAAATGTAAATAATTTACAATTTAAATAATTTATCAGTGTTATTTTAGTACCACTGAGATACTATTACAGTTTTTAATATTTTAAATTAGATTTAATGTTTATATTTTCTGTTTTCACTATAATTTTAGTTCACTTTTTAGTACTTTTGTTGTGTTTTTTTATTTTTTTATTAATGTTTTATAGTTTTTATTCATTTGTATTTATTTGTTTTAGTTTATTTAGTTTTACTTATTTTATTACTTCAGGTTAAACTAAACGGAAATGAGAAATGTTGCCTTGGCAACTAGCTGAAATAAAACACTTAATTTAATTTAATTTAATTTAATTTAATTTAAAATTTATTTCGTTTCAAGTGATAAATGTTTTTATGATTTTAGGGTTAATGATAATAATCTCAGTGTGTGTGTGATGCTTTGATGGTGGTCGAGGGCTGTTTTTCTGAGGCGCTCTACAGGAGGAGCGGAGCTGCAGTCGGACTTCAAAGCGCTGACCATCGATCTGTTACCATAGAGACAAATACAGAGAGTTCAGATCACAGAGTCTGCATCCTGATCACATGCACTACTGATCTAAAGTTTGGAGTCAGCAAGATACTTTTATTAAGCAAGGATGCATTAAATCGATCAAAAGTGACATTAAAGACATTTCTAATGTTGCAAAAGATTTCTATTTCTAATAAATGCTGTTCTTTTGAACTTTCTATTCATCTCTGAATCCTGAAAAATGAAATGTATCACCGTTTCTGCAAAAATATTAAATGTTTTAGACTACATATAAAATATAATATAAAATAGGATCATGTGACTCTGAAGACTGGAGTATACTGATGCTGTAAATTCAGCTTTGATCACAGAAATCAATTACATTTTAACAGATATTCACATAGAAAACAGCTATTTCAAATTGAAATAATATTTTACAATTTTTACTGTATTTTGATAAATAAATGCAACCTTGGTGAGCAGAAGATACTTCATTACATTAAAAAACGTACTGACCCCAAAGTATTACCAAACATCTTCATCACGTTGGCTTCATATTGTTTATCCTAGAAATCAAGATCATTCTGGTTCTGAAAAGCCCACCTACGCAGCTAAAACTAGCTTCTGATAGAAGGTGGTTTTACTTTGTTTCTCCAAGCCGTCATTTATGGTCATTATGTGGTCATTTTCGTTACTAAATCAAAAAATAAATTATAAAAAAAAGTTAATGCAACATTTCTCATTTTAACATAGTTTAAACTTGATGTACTAAAATGAAAACTACATTTTAACGATAAATAAATTATTTAAAAAAAATAAAAATAAAAATAATAAACTGTATAGCCTTAACGTGGTTTTGGACCCGTATCTGGGTCCGCAGAGTTTAAGAGGTTTTAAAATTGCACATTTCAAACTTCAAAAATTAACAAAACTTTAAAATTAAAATACATGGAAAATATATAAATAAAAATTGATTCAAAATATTAATAAAAGCTATAATAGTATCTCAAATAATATTAAAATAACACTGGTCCAAGCTGGTCTAGATGGTTGATTGTGGACTAGTTAGTTAAGTTAGTTAAACTGGTTAGTGTTGGAAACCCTGCAACAAAGCAGCTGCCATGTTTCAAAGCCCAGATTCGTGGTGAAGTTGGCTTTTTCCAGCAGGGAAACTGGTGAAATAAAAACACTAATCCTGTGTTCTGTTGTCTGTGAATGCAATGCATGGTTAGTTTGCATGTATTTCCAGTTTAGTTGAGCATCGAGATCCAGTTATTGATCTTTTCTTATCATTGCTCTTAAACAGGAGCTTCACCAGCAGCTGATTATTGAGAGCAGAAATCTGAAAAAGACCAGTACTTTCTACCACAAGCTGATTCAGCAAGAGAGGAAAAATAAAGGTAGAACAAACAGAAAACCTGCCGCCTGTGAATTCTGCAGCACAGCTTTTCCTCGTTCCTCACTCGTGTGTTTGAGCTGCTCGTCTGTCTTTCTAGGTTCAGACACAAAGGTGATGGTGTCTAAAGTCAAGCTGCAGTTGGACGAGCTCAGAGAAAAAGTTGAGTTTCTGCAGTCTGTCAAGAAATATCTCCAGGTTTGTGCCAAAGCACACGCTGCGTTTCCTCTGCTGTGGGCTTGAAGACTTTTCTAAGCAATCATATTCTACATTTACATTTATTGGATGCTTTTATCTTAAGCAGCCATGACCTTGATGTTGTCAGGAACTTCTAAATAATAAGAACTAGAGATCTGACTGTGAAGGGAAATCTGTTTGGATGAGCCAAATTCAAGCCTTTGAAAAACAGAATTGCTTGATTGTTAAAATAATAGTTTTTAATAATGATGACGATGATAATAATTATTGATTAATATCTATTCAAATCGATTAATATCACTATCAGTTTATAATGAATTGGATAATAATGATTATCTATTAAATGTATTATCAATAAACAATAATAATCTAATAATAATGGTAATAATAATAATAATAATAATAATCTAATTTATAAATAGTAATAACAATATTTGTTTAATAATATTAATAATAATAGACTATTATTGTTATCTATTTATAATAAATTAGATAATAATGGTAATCTGTCTAATTTATTCTTAATAATAATAATAATAATGTTATCAGTTCATAATAAGTTACATAATAATGGTAATCTATCTAATTTATTATGAATTTAAAAACTAATCTATTAATAAAAATAATAACAACAACAACAGAATAATTGCAATAAACAATAATTTCAACAATTAAACAATTCTATTTAACCCTGGCTTTAAATTTGGCTTATCCAATCAGATTTCATGTCACAGCTCTTAGTATTTATCCAGTATTTAGAAGTTTCTAAAATCACCAAGGTCATGGCATGGGCTTGATTTTCAACACTGTGAACCTTAAATAAACTGCAAGCCGCTTAAAATTAACACATCTTTGTAAATAAATGTAAAATGTATTTGAGTGATTAGTTATTGTTGTTTTTTTGTTGTTGCCAGAAGCTTTTTATATTAGCAGTGAGCCATATGAGGCCGTGCGTGGTGATTTTACCAAGTATTTATAATTGCACAAGTGTTGTGTGATTGAGTTTGTAGTGCAGGTGTTTTGTGTTAATAATTACAATAAACAATAATTTCAACAATTAAACAATTCTATTTAACCCTGGCTTTAAATTTGGCTTATCCAATCAGATTTCATGTCACAGCTCTTAGTATTTATCCAGTATTTAGAAGTTTCTAAAATCACCAAGGTCATGGCATGGGCTTGATTTTCAACACTGTGAACCTTAAATAAACTGCAAGCCGCTTAAAATTAACACATCTTTGTAAATAAATGTAAAATGTATTTGAGTGATTAGTTATTGTTGTTTTTTTGTTGTTGCCAGAAGCTTTTTATATTAGCAGTGAGCCATATGAGGCCGTGCGTGGTGATTTTACCAAGTATTTATAATTGCACAAGTGTTGTGTGATTGAGTTTGTAGTGCAGGTGTTTTGTGTTGGTGTTGCAGGTGTTGTCTGTGGATCAGTGGGGTTCGGCGCTCTCTCTGCTGCCCTCTCTGCTGCCCTCTCTGGCTGCGTGTGGAGCTGCGCCTCTGGACGATCCTGCGCTTTTGCACGTTCTGTGTGAGCAGCGCCGGGGCAAAGGCTGCCCGCTAGTGACCGCCACCGCCAGAGGCCTCATGGCCTACCTGTACGCCAGGTACTGAGTGTGTATGACTGCAGCGTGTTTTTAACAAATGACTTGTATGACTGCAGCGTGTTTTTATCAAATGATTCTGCCGCTACTGTAACCCTCGTCACACACGTCTGTTCTGACGCTAACAGGAATGCTCACTGCGAGGGGTTTATTCAGCAGTTTTTCTACACGTATCGCTACTTCTGCACCTCGGAGGAGCTTCTGCGGTTTCTAATGGACACATTTAACAGCACACTGGGGTACAAATAAATAAATATGAGCACTGTAACGCAATAAACTAGAAAAGCTGAACTGCTCAAGAAATACTTTGCTGTTGGCTTGAAAATAGTTTGACAGTTAGATTGAATGTTATACAGGTGCATAGATAGACAGACAGACAGATGCTAGATAGATGATAGATAGATAGATATTCAGATTGATTGATATTCAGATTGATTGATATTCAGATAGATAGATAGATAGATAGATAATGATTTTGTCAAGCCCTCATAATTAAGATGTATAGAAAGTCTCAATTATCCACAGTCTAACACTAATTAAATAATCATCTCTAAGAAGTGAAATGAAATGAAATGTAATTGTTCTCCATTAATTGTGAAACTGCAGAGCGAATGAAGATCCCTCATCAGACAGAGCTAAAGTCTATCAGCGCACTTTGGATTTATTACACTTCTGGATTGAAGACGCACAGCTAGTGGACTTCAGCTCCAGCTCCAGCCTCCTGCAGACGCTCGAGGCTTTCCTGAGCGCTCAGGTCACAGAGTTCAACTAGTTTCAATACTAAACTGCTGCTTTAGACAGAAGGCTTGAATGCAGAGCTGAGGAGATTATTTACAAATTATAGTCCGTTACAGATTACAGATTACATGATGAAAACTGTTGTTAGTACTGTAACATAATCTAGGTTACTCATTTTAGGTAATGTATTCTGACTACTTTTTAGATTACTTTTAGATAACTTTTTATCTAACTTGTTTTAAACTTACCAATAAACATACTATACTGATATGGAAAAAAAGCGAAGAGAAAAAAAAAATGAATATATATATATGCTATCAACATCATAAAATGCAAACATTACATTAAACCACTGGGCTTAATGTAAGAACTGCAGTGGGTTTGTGAGTTGATAAAAGCTATTGATTAATTAAATCATAAAAATGTAAAATAAATTATTTAAACACTTGAACACTGGAAATATTTACTTAGTTTACCTGCATGTCAATATGACCATTAACCTTCATCCGAGAACTTTATTTATATGAATTAAATTGATTTAAATGAGATTTAAATGGCCATTCTTACATGGCCTATATTGTTAATATAGTCAAAGCTAAATGGTATGACACACAGTAGGATTTTTAGGAAAATTTAAGAGAGAAAAAAGAATAATTAGGGAGAATCAATAAATTATGAATGATTTACTGCCATTGTGTGAATAATATGTAATTATGTAATCCATAAAAGTAACTGTAATCTGATTCTGAGCATTATAAAATGTAATATGTGACCCTGGAGCACAAAACCAGTCATAAGGGTCAGTTTTTTTAAATTTAGATTTATACATCATCTGAAATATGAATACATGAGCTTTCCATTGATGTATGGTTTGTTAGGATAGGACAATATTTGGCCGAGATACAACTATTTGAAAATCTGGAATCTGAGGGTGCAAAAAAATCTAAATATTGAGAAAATCGCCTTTAAAGTTGTTCAAATTAAGTTCTTAGCAATGCATATTACTAATCAAAAATGAA